ATAAAAACAACAAAAAAAGTTTAAAAACTCTTTAAAAATCACATTTATTTAAAATAATGTGAATAGAAACTTAAATTGCATTTATTCTTGTCTTCAAATTGTATTTGAATAAAAAGTTGATTTTATACTGCTTCAGAAGCTGAATTTTAATACTGAGTAAAAATATATCATTTCTCATTCAAGCTACTACTGCTTTTTATCTCAAAAGTCTGAGATAAAGTTGAGAGTAGTGATCTATGAAAGAAAGAGATCAAGATATTAATTTAATCTAAGATTTAATATTATGTCTGACTCTGATATTCTGATGAGTGATATTATAGATAAAGAGAATGAGTTTAACACTATACAGCTTATAAATATCTATAATGAAAAGTCATTGAAGAAAAATAATAACATCTGAACAATTAATAGAGAATTTCTGAATATAACTCTATTAAGAAACTCTATAATTGTAGAAGATTTTAATACACATCATCTCTGATGAAATTCAGAATGTAAAAGAGCAGTAAGAGCTGATAATCTGATTAAATAAATCTTTGAGTATTTATTATTATTATTATTATTATTCTTTCATTATACTCATATGCAAGCGGAGCTTATGATGAGTCCTTGCGTGATGTTAAATACAGGTCAAGTGTTGGTTATACAGGAGGAAATACAGGTGTTGAGACCACGCCAAGATAACAAGAACATAGGAAAATACAAAGGAGTGACAATTAGATACATGTGATAATAACTTCCCAGCCCAGGAACATAGAGCGATTCATTGAAGCGATTTGTACACCTCTGTATTTATTAGAAACCTGAGGTGCTTGAGTTCCGGATTTAATGTATCCCCTGCGGGTTTCGAACCCACGCGCCTTGGTTTCCCACGCCAAGGCGCTACCAGGTGGCCGTATTAACCATTCGGCCACCGGGGCTTCTCTTTGAGTATTTAATAGATTTAGTTAACAAGTCTAATCAACAAACATTCTTTAGAAATGATATGAAACAGAAATCTATTATAGATCTAATCTTCATATCATAAAATTTAATAGAAAAAAGACTTGTAAACTGATTTATTAATTCAAACAAGACATCAGAATCAGATTATAAGATTATTCAATTTAATATTAAACTGAGTGAGAAATAAATAAGTGAAAATTCTCTTCTCTCTAATCAGTTTAACTTTGAAAAAGCTGACTGAAAGACAGTTGAAGAAAGTATAAAACTATTAAAATCTGAAAAACAGAGTGAGCTGTATTGAAACTCTGATCAAGATATCTCAAATGAAATGCTTAAGAATAGAGTGAAGCTCATTACATCTATTATTCTAGTAAGTGTTAAAGATAATATTTCAAAGAGAAAGTCTTCTGAGTATTCAAAATCTTGATAAAATAAGAATATCACATCTAAAAGAAAATAATTGACTACTGTTAGAAGAGATTGAAAGAATGATATAATTTCTGATAAAGAGTTCAAAGCTGTCAGAAATGAATATTTTTCAGATATTAAAAAAGCTAAAACAGACTGCTGGAATAAATTTCTTGAAGAAGTATAAGAAAAAGAAGTTTTTAAAGCTTTTAACTATACTAAAACAAGAAGTGTAGCAAAACTTTCAACCTTAGAATATGAGTTTCAGAATGAATCATATACAGCAAACTCTTTTAAGAAAAAATATTAAGCTTTTATAAGAACTCTCTTTCAAAACTCATCAGATTCAGATTCAGAGAAAGAGAATATATCACTTCTCAACTATATTAATGAAAATGACTGAGAATAATCTGATCTTACTTAAGATGAATTAGAGTCAGCTATCTTCTCAAGTTCAGTTAAGACTGCTGCAGGGCCTGATTCAATTAATCACTTAATTATTCAAAATACATACTTCTACTTAAAGAATGAATATTTTGAGCTCTTTTTCAATCTCTTAAAAAATGAATATTATTCTGAATACTGAAGAGAAGTCACTGAAGTGATTCTTACAAAATCTAATAGAAAAACTTCAATTCTTAAGTTATATAGAGTAATATCTCTATTGAACTGCTTAGAAAAGGTTTTAGAAAAGATAATAGCTACTTAACTATCTTTTATAAGCTTTATCAGTGATTCTCTTTTATTCAGTGAATAAATAAGAGATAGAAAACAGTGTTCTGTAATTGATACTGTTCTCTCAGTTATTTATAATATTTAAATAGCAAAGTATGAGAGTCTGATCTCAACTGCAGTTTTTATTAATATAAAAGAAGCATTTAATTATGTTTCAAAGTTAAAGTTAATTCAGATATTAAAGATGTTAAAACTGTCACTTTCTCTAATAAAATGAGTTAACTGTTTTATATCTAAAAGAATTATATAACTCTTCTTTGATGAAATGAAATAAGATAAGACTGAGATAAAAATAGAAGTATTATAAGAATCTTTAATCTCACTTATTTTATTTACAATATACACTGCATATCTATTCAAAAATAGAAATATGAGAATAGTGTAATCTCTGAGTTATATAAATGATATTGATCTAGTCTACAGCTTAAAAACTATCAAAGAGAATTTGAAAATAATTAAAGAAGCTGTAAAGAAAATCTTTGTTAAAACAGATATCAATTAAATTCAATTTAATATGAATAAAACTGAGTTAATTCATTTCTTTTCTAGATTCAATGAGAAAGAACTATCTCTAACTCTTTTAAATAGAGAGATTAAACTCAGTGTAAATATCAAATAATTAGAAGTATGATTAAACTTTAAGTTGAATTTTAAATATCACATTCAATAAAGAACTGTCAAGACAGAAAGATTATTAAATAACATAATCAGACTATTAAATACAGAGAGAGGTCTATTCTTTCAGACTATGAGACAGTTATATATAGTCTGTATTACATCAGTAGCTGATTATGAAGTTCAAGTTTGATGAAATAATCAAGAGAATTTCACTGAACTCTTTCAAAGTCTGTAAAACAGAGTCTTGAGAAGAATTCTGAAAGCATTTAAATTATCTTCTATTAAAGTAATGAAAATTGAAGCTTCAATTTCTTCTTCTATTATTAGATTTAAAAAAATCTGTATGAACTATGCTCTGAGAGTTATAAAGATAAGCTTAAATTATATAATCAGAGAAAGAGTCTCTTCTTCATTTTCATTAATTAACTCTGAAAATGAACTGAATTGAAATAGATTTCTTGATTGAAATGAAAATAATTCTTCAAAGAAAATATCTTCTTAACTGTATAGATTATACTCTCTGATTAAAAATCAATTTTCTTCTTTAAATATTGAAAAAGTTAATCATGAGAAGTTATCTCTCTGAAGAGAAAAGCTTGAATCTCTTATAGACTTATAAATAAGTGAACTATTAAAAGAGAAAGAATATAAACAGTATTTGAAGAGAATTTCTAAAATTAATATAAAAGACTCTATTTTGATTTATTCAGATGACTTAAAAAATGAGAATTTAAATAGATTAGACACAGACATTACTTATACTGAAGATAATATTAATTTTATCTCAGATTTCTGAAATCTAGACTGTGAATCTGAAGTCTTTGATACTGAACTATTTATAATAGTGAAAGCTTTCAAACTCATTGAAATAAAATCTTATAAAAGAGGAAATAGTTTGAAAGAGATATGAATATTCTCTGATAGTTAAGCTACTTTAAAAAAGACTTAGAAATAGTTAGATTTATAATAATTAAATGAATCTTGAACTGATCTTAAACACTGTTTTGAAAATTCAAAAGAGAAGAATATTAAAGCTGATAATTTATCTGCACTGAGTTCCTGCTCATATGAATATTCATGACAATGAATTGACTGATTCAGCTGTAAAAAAGAGTGCAGAATTAAGCAGATCTATTCAAAAAATTATATTCTGATCTTTTATAAAGAGAAAAATAAAAGAATCTTGTTTAGATAAGTGAAATGAAAGCTGATAGAAATAAAAGAAGAGTATATATTATTCAAGATTTAAAATAAAACTCAAGTGAAAATCTTGTTTAATTAAATATAAAAAGAAAATATTCTCATCTATAATACAGCTGAAACTAGAACATGACTATTTCAAATCTTATATACAAAGATTTGATAATAGATTTAACTCAATAGAATACTCATTCTGCAATATAAATAAGAATTCTGAGTATATTGTAATACACTGTGTATTATACAATAGTCTCAGAGTCAGATTAAAAGAGAAGTATAATCTAAATTAATTAAATATAAGATTCTTATTCTCAACTGAGACAGGAATTAAATACTTAATAGACTTTCTATCAGAAACTTAAGCAGCTATAAGAAAATGACTAAATTCAGAATTATCTGAATATGAAGAGAAGAAAATCAATCAGATATAGTCTGTTAAAACAGCTATATACTATCTTTTAATAATTTATTTTATTACAGTCTCTCTTTACTTTATCTTTTTCTTTTAATTTCTTTCTATCTATCTATTTAATGTGTCTATCTTTAAGACTGTGTTCTCTTTTCCTTTGTCATGATATTGTCAAATGATTTCAAAGTATTAGAAGATATTAAAACACTGTAATTTGTAAATAGTTTTTATATTCTGAGCTAAAATTTTCTGATTTTGCATATCTGAAATTGATGAATGTATAATAGTTAACTTTACAGATATAGAAAAAACCCTGAGAACTAAAAGTTCTCAGGTAGATGTCATAGTCTCTGACTGTATACATCTATAATTGAAGAATAATAATAATAATAATAATAGTAAATGAACTCACTAAACTCTTAGATACTATAATATTTATATGATTCATGATTTTGCTAGATCTTACAGATGTAAAAGTTGAGAATGTTTAATTTTACATTTGTATTTGGTTTTGACAGACTATCTTGGTGATTTGGGTGTTTTTGTATGTGATTCTTATTATCTTGAGGGGGGGTGTTGGCTGTTACAGCTGTTGCGGTTAGTGATCCCACTAGATCACGTGACCCACCACTATATTATGTTCTTGTAGATAGATCTATCAATACAACCTTCAACTATCCTACAGTTTGGCCCCAGGGTTGCTATAGCATGAGTTGCTATTACAAAGGATTGGGACGGCAATTGTTATCTACTGCTGGGAAATTGAGCTCTGAGGAAGGTAGCCGGATCACTTAGCCCCCTGCCATTCAACACATCAGTATCTGGTAGCTTGGTTCAAACGGTATTAGCTGGTGGCTCAGCTCTTATATTGAAATCAGCGAAGAATTGGTGAGAGGTGAGGCTTTGGCAATTTCAATGATACAAGGCACTTCCATACCCAGGCAATGGTTGAAAAGCTGGTACTTTCTTTCCCTAGCTTTAAACCTATCCGATGGGGGAAATAATGACGTAAAATCGAAGTAACTCAGCCATTATATATATCATTTGCGTGATCATTGAACCTTCAACACACCTTTGCAAGCAAGCGTACATGCATTAAAATTGTAATTCCCTCAACCCTTCCCCTTCCACATATTCCTGGCCATAACACTCCCTCTTCACAGACTCTACGATCTCTCTATCACCCCCTGCCAGCTTCCCCAGATACTCTTCCAGCACATAAATATTATCCGTCCACATCTCCGCTTCCTCCTTCCACCTCTTAATATCCGCCTCCTTCATCTCAATCCCGCCACCAGCGGCCCCATTCAAGTACCTCTCCTCCTCTGCCCTCAAACATGCTACCTCCGCCTCCCCATCCACCTTCCTACTCATCAACTCCCCCCTCTCCCTATCCTCATCCCCTTCACAGCCCCCAATCTCACTAAGCGCCACTTTCTTCTTCTCCTCCAGCTCCGCCACAGCTCTCTTCAGTTTCTCCAGTTCTTTCACGAGGCCATGCTTAGCTTTTTCCTTCTCCTTTAGCTCCTCCCCCGCCCATGCCCAGTACCAATTCCCGCTTCCGATCTTCTCGACGTGTAACTTGCCGTCGTCGGTTAGGGCTTGGATGTAGTCCTTCACTTGCATGCCGTTTATGGACGCGACGGAAGGGAGACATTTCTCAAGATCTTTGAGCGTGTGGCATGTACGTGATGCGCGGAGGTGGTTGAGAATTAGCTGCTGTTTGGCTGCTGGAGGGAGGGATTTTGAGGGTGCCTTTAATAGCGGGTTAGTTGATACCGTGCTGCAGAGATAGAAGGGAAACCTAAAATCTAGTACAATGCGATATACTTAGATTTGTAGGGAGCTGGAGGATCTAATACCATGATTGTGATCAGGTTGATACGAGCCTCGAAACTTTGTCCAGAGGATATACAAGCGGTAGATGACGACGCCTTCTCCGGGATAATTTAAATATTGGATATTGGACTCTCGAGAACTGAAACTATTTGCCTGGAAATTTATGAAAGAGTCATAGTATTAGGCAAATGATACAGTTGATTGGGTTCAGAATGGAAGTAAGCGGAGGGATCTTCCTTGGCAAGGTTGAGACACGCTCTCTCTCCCTCCCCCTTTTCGCGAATGGCGCAAGGCCACAGAGTAGCAAACAATGAAGGAGTCTTTGATGGCCAGCTGAGTCAACTATACACTCCGAAGCCCAAGCTTCTATTTATCTTATTTCAAGGCATGCAGCTACAGATCAAGTACTTGCGTAGTAGCTATTGCGAAACCTCAAGAGTTTAAGTGGATATATATATATGTCTTGTCTTCGGACTCGTTTATGAGGAGCCAAATAGATTCATCCCAAGATGTAAGAAACAGCCATCTATCTCTAAAAGCTTGATTGGTAGGGGAATTCAGAAGAGCTAAAGAAAAGTGGTCATAAAGGAGGAAACTTTTCCTTTCGATATTCAAACATTTACTCGTACACTCGTACGATATTTCGCTCTTTGGTTAGGCATGGAAGGAAATAACATGATCGGTTATGGGATTGGCAGAGAGAATAAATGGCCATAAATAGCAAATCAACAAGCGCATGATGCCCAAGCAGGAGCATTAACCAGTATAATGCTGAAACTCGAAGAGAAATTGGGAAAAAGAATCAATGCCGATAGTATAGCACCAGATATAGGTGAAATCACCGGATCAAGGCCAGGGAAATGCACCAAAATGGAGGAAAATATAATCCAAAACCCGGAAGGACGCCCTTTAACGTTGAAATAAAAAAAACGGCATGTTTTATCTAGCCGATCCCCAGCGTCCAACGCCCGATGCACCATCACTTTGTCCGAGTGCTCTCTTAGTTTCAGAAGTTGATACACGTTAAAGATAAACGTCAGAAAAGCGAAATCATCGTTGTCGTAAGGCCATCGATTTATACGAACACCGTAAGTTTATCGAAAGGGTTTTTTGACCGCACGCGCTTGGATTCCAACCACAGAAAAATATCATTGTAATAATGTGACGTCTCACTTGTCCACGAAATAGCAAAACTATTAGCAAACGTTTTTTTCCCTACTCTGAGAGCAATGGGAACCATATGTAACCATTCCGGCTGATTTTGAACTTACCGGATACTCCTTGAAGGGATTAAGGCATCTGCGCCCCAAGACTGCAGAGCAGTAGCAGGGCCTCGGGCATTTGTATGGGTAAAAATTGCAATCCCCCGTCTCGCAAGCGTAGTTTGGCCCTACCTTATTAGGCGATAGAGATTCGGGTTTTGCCCAAACACATACAATCGTCGCAAAAATAAACCAAGATAACAACATGTTTTTGTGCACTCACTTGGTCGGGTCCTTCTCAGAATAGAAGCCTAATAGACAAGAACGGTTAGTTTGAGTTTCGCCAATACAATGCAAGGGCAAGGGGAGATGCACAACCTTTTAACAAGACTTGTATTGGAGAACTGAGTTAGAGAGGGAAAATAGATTGAGGATAAATTGGATAATGGCATGGGGAGCAACATGATTATAAATATCTGGGTTCAAAACGGACTATCCCTGGTTCTCGGCCTTCGCGATTGGCAATTTCTCAAGGCGGTATCAAACGACACAAAACGAAGCATATGGATGGTCTATTCTTAGAGCTGCAGAAGAAAGGGAGCAAAAAAACACTACAACCAATTGGCAGTCTCGGAGGTTATGCAAGGCATGACCTTTGTGTAACTGAATCATTATCCGCCCTGCTTGCGCTCACGTAGACCAATAGGAGAAATAGAACATGAAAAAGCGGACTTGCAAATTCATGGGGCAACCGGCGTAAATCCATGCAAGTGACAAAGAATATTCCATTTAACAAAGGTTGGCAATAACGCAAAGGTCTTCAATAAAGCCCCTCGATTGTGATAAGTTTTAGGGTTGGAGTTGACACATTCCCAAAGATTCGGTTCTCGAGGAGATCCATCTTCTTTCTGTGAAATGCATCGCCAATAAAGCAGCCGTTCATTCAGGCTCGACAGATAGAAGCTCTCAATCAGCTCTGCGGCGTCTCTTCGTCCTAGTCCTTCGTGGCCTAGCGAATTCTTCTCCGCTAATCGCGCTACTGCTTCCTACAGTTATCCGCTTGCGACCGCGGCTCGTTGAAGGAGATCGAGTAGCAAGTTCTTCAGGATCAGTTATCTCCTCGCCTTCAACAAAGACCATATCACCGGTCGCGCCCAGGGATTCATTGGCGGCTTCTTCAAGCAGTATTCCCAATGCAATCAGCGCCGTTTCGTCCATACTCTGCCAATCCGCATGGCCCTGATCAAGAGTTGCATTGGCATAAAAATCGGAGGCGTAGGTGTGAATCGCCTTCAGCATATCGGAGTCCGGTAATCGTTGGTCAGACGGGAGACGCTCGTCGGCAAAGTAGAAGTCATCCTCTGCGTATATTACGGGCGCATTGACACGCCGGAAGAGTACTTCCTCTGGGGTAACGGGAACGGAGGAGGCGGACGGCGCAGAGTTCCGATGGAGAAGAGTTTGAGGGCGGAACCCAGAGGAAGAGACGCGACCTGAATGCCATTAGTAGATAGAGATAGAGAATGAGTGCGGGACGGGTTACATACCAGCTACGGCATCGTAAACATTAGCTTGTCGCCTTGTACCGATCCGACGCGGTAATTCATCCACCGCCTCTGCCTGAGGTAGATCATTTCGGGCATTGCGACTCATGGCAAGAAATTCGCCAGAGACACATCTCTCGAATCAAATCGTAGGCATGACCATAAAAGTTGATGCCGGTCCGCTTGTGTGTTCTTTTGTTTTGTTGCACATTGCGTTGTTCTCAACTAGAAGCTCTGCTTGGGACTGATCCACGGGCCGAGATTTTCTCCGATCATCTCCACTGAATATAGTTAATCCACTCTATCTCAACGTATCAGTCTTGCGGAAATTCTTCAACGGTGAAAATGGGGCAATATTCGTGAATGTAAAACACTCTGATGAATGAATTCGTATCTGTTGAATAGATCCCAAGGATCTGTCAGCTCCTCCGCGTTCCATGTGGCCCACAATGCCCACCTCATCCGGTCAATTGAGCCTGCGCCGGGTCTCAGGTTTTCTAGCCACCCCGCAGCTCCTGCTCTGAACCAGGGAGAAAGTGAACCGACGGAGGATGGCTGGAAGGGTGAGGAACAAGACGAGCTTCGGGCCCATAAAGCAGGCGTAAATGTTCTGACAATCGATCAATATGAAAAGCGCTTGTATGTATAACCTGGCAGCCGCTTAGGATAGGCCTTTTGCTAAGTAAAGCGAATGCAGCATGGTCTCTGGTGGAGCGGATGCGTCTGTCCATCTCTGGGATTTGGAGACTCGTGGATCCGAGTCAAGCCATCTTTATAAATCCATTGCTTCAGTGACAAAGTAAAACCATTTTCTAAAAACTCCCGTCCCGTATCTATTATATCAGAAGGGCTCATCGCCTCTCTAGATCAACAGACCCATCGGCACATACACACGCATTAACTTCCATTTCGATATATCCCTTCGACCCGACTCCGTCAACCATATTAACTACTTCCCATGACACCACTCTAAAGTTATCTTCGCTTCAAGCTCCTACGATAGTCCCAGTCTATACATTTTCACTCCACTCAACTCCGTACTCACATTCATTCTCGTCGCATCCATCGTCGCTACTTTTGACTGCTGTAGGAACCTCAGATAAAACCGTAAGGCTACTAGACCTTCGTTCCGGCCTTGCCACCCACGCTTTACCAGGCCATAGTGCCGCTGTCCTATCGGTTTCCTGGGCACCGCATCATGAGTATCTGCTAGCATCTGCCTCAAATGATAACCGAGTCATCCTTTTTGATGTCCGGCGAGGAGGACATAATTCCGCCCTTGCTTCGCTGGATATGGATGATGCAGTCGGCGTAATTGCCCCGCACGATGCGCCCTCTTCCTTCTCCTGCCGTAATCCATTTGTGCCTGGCGCCCGTGCACATAACGGGGCAGTGACGGGCGTGCGATGGACATCAAATGGCTCCCACATAATCACTTCAGGCCATGACGCCCGCATTCGAGTCTGGGACGCTTCCACAGGCGCAAATTCGCTGGTCCATTTTGGCCCGCGCATCCGCAATAGTTCCTCGCTGCATCTCGCTGAAAGGGCACCACTAGTTTTACCCAGTGATATCACAGGTGCGGTGCTTGATACACTACTATGGCCGAACTACGGCGATCAGGACGATAGGGGGGAGATCTTCATGTTCGCGCTTCGGGATGGTACATTTATCAAGCGCCTGAATGTGCCCGGCGTACCGAGCTCACGGCAGAAGATGCGAGGAAAGCCCACAGCTCTTAGCGCTGCGCGAATAAATGGCCTTGCATGGCGCGGGAGCGGAGGGTCCGGCGAAGGGATGGAGTTGTTTTCTGCCCATGGAGATGGGACGATTAGGGCCTGGGTCTCCAGAACTGCGGATGAGGAACATGAGATCGCCGAGGAGGAGGAGGAGATGGAGGACAAGAAGAGGAAAAGAGATGTTCTGGACGAGGTGTACCGTGGCTTGATGAACCGGAATGTCACTTTCACTTGATTCACAATGGGGGAAACACGGGTCATTTTCTAGTTATGGCATATGCACTCCGTAACGTAACATTGGTTAGAATAATTTGTTATTAATTCGGAGGAACATGATACCTCAGGTGGCAGAAAAGGGAATGTTGTGGAATAATGCATTGTCCCGCTCCTGAACCTTTCTTTCCTTTCTTTTGTTTCAACGGAGATCTACCACTGATTCCATCAATTCCCACACACCCCAGGGCCTGACTGACCTGGGGATCTCATCGCCGCCACCACCACCACCATCCCCTGCACCCAAAAATAACATCAGAACGAGGCTTGCATTAATAAAAACTTGTCCATGTTCATGCACTATCTTATTGATGTACATGTAATGTACATGCACACGTACCCTCCTTCCTCCTCAAGCAACTAACTTCCGCCATAAAAACGGGGTAACATAAAAAAAAAAAAATTAAAAAATTAAAAAATTAAAAAATCAAAAAATCAAAAAATTAAAAAATTAAAAAAATTAAAAAAAAGACCACCCCCCCCTTTCTTTAAAAACCCAAATACCAAACCAACGGAAACAACGGATGACCTAAAACCCAGCACCATCTCCGCGCACCGCGCGGGAAGGATAAACTTATTCAAAAATTCAAAAATCCACTCAGCCATCTGGTTATTGGGATGTTGGGGGGTCACCTCGTCTTTCTTCCCCACACCTTCTGTGTAGGTGTAGGTGTGAGTAGCATACTCGGTCCCCCTACCCTCCACTCCCCTACTATTCAATTCGGCAAGTAGATGTATGTACATTACATGTTGATGTTACATAAGTATGGCAGATAATGTGACTAACTATGTAGGAGAGAAGAGAAAAACAGATTATCTGGGGCGCGATTAATAAATAGATAGATAAGGTAGTGATCCAAATGGTGAATCGGCACAGAATTATCATCATCCTTCTTCATAGAGTTATTTAAGTATATGCACTAAAACTAGTTATCTTTCCTTTTAGCAAGAGAAAAGAGAAGAGGAAAGTGTGATATAAAAAGAGTATGGTATAATATATATCCCTTTCTTAAAATCATTTATATCATCATCGTTCAGCAACCCAACTTATCTATTTAACTATCACTAATCCATTCATTCTTGATATTTCTTCCTGCTTTCTCCCCCCATATACCCGCCTACCTCCATGTCTCTCACACACGCACACACAAATTTAAATAACACGAAAGAAAGAATCAGATAATAAGCACCCCCTTCTCCTCCACCCGCCATTTGCGCCATTTTTCATGCAATCGTTGCCGCCCAGTGTTACCCATGCAAAACAAGCAAACCCAAAAAAATATGAAAGAAATAGCAAGAAAAAAAAAAAAATGGTACAAGCGAAAGAGTTTTTCTGTAAGTGTGAGTGAGTGTCGTGGGAAAGGTGGAAATAATTCTTAGAAAAGGGGAAGGAAAAAAAAAAAAAAAAAAAAAAAGGAAACAGAAAACGCCAGGTTTAGATTTAGAAGATGGAAGATGGAAGACGAGAGGTAAAAGAGGAAGAAGAAGACGTATATAACGGGGTGCAGCAGATGCAGATACAAGTGGGCGCGGGAGGGTATCTTCTTAAATAAATAAATTAAGGATATTAATTGAATGGGATTGGGCCCATGATAATGGGTTCCCAGTCCCCTAATTGTTTTTTGAAAAAATCGAAATGGGGTGAGAACACGTTTTTTTTTCATCTCGAGATCAACTCGGGACAAATTCGTTCGAGGATGGGGTGCAGCAGGGGTTTCGTTCGTTTCGTTTCAACAAAAGCCCTCCCCCCCCCCCCCCGTTAAGGAGTGTAAATTTATCTTTTTCTATATTGGTCTTGGTGTGCGCTAGCTGATATTAAAAATCCCCGCAGGGGAGAAATTTTATATCAGCAAGAAATTCCAATTATTCTGCTTCATAACATCCCGCCAGTGGACGTTTGCAAGCTTGGATTTCTGATGGTGGTGGTGGTGGTGGTGGTTGCGCTCGTCATCTGACCCAGCGCCGGCGGCCGCGGCCGCGGCAGCAGACAGGCTTCCGCCTGGGGTTGTCGCGGCTGAAACTGGAGTCGGGAGGAACGATACATCAGCCGCCACGTCAGCCTGTCGCCACACCTCGCGCAACAGACAGACCATGCGGCCAAAGCTGCCATTTCCGGCCGCGTTGCCGAGCATCTCGATGCGGCGTTCGAACATGGAGCGGAAGGCGCTGTCGGGGGTGGAGAAAGAGCCGCAGATGAGGAATGGCCAGACGAGAGAGCGATCGAAGCCATCGGGTCCGCCGGGGACGAGGTTTACGAGGTCTGCAAAGTCGGAGATTAGGCGCATTGTTCCTGCTTGGGTGCGGTGGAAGCCTGGGACGAGGCTGCAGAGGTATACGCGGGCGGCGAGGCGGAAGAGCGCGGTCATGTTCTGTGACAGCTGGCATGCTTGGAGGGCGCCTGTGTCGTTGGTTGGATAGACGAGGGATCCAGGGGGTGGTTCGGTGTGGTCGAGTTGGTGGGCGAGGGAGGTGATGTGTGAGCACAGCAGGAGATCGTCGATGCGGCCTTCGAGTTTCAGAGTGTCGAGGCAGGCGATTTCGGAGATCAGGTACATCATTCGGTCCTCGCAGCCCATCAGATCGTATAAACCGGAAGAGGAGCCCGCCAGGAGCTTGGTGCGGTAGACGTGTGCGCACTGCGGCGTCTTGCCAAGCATCGTTGAGCCCAGGATATCGATCCAGGCAACCAGTGTCATGTCGAAGGGTGGGGGGATATTGTGATTGTCAGCGTCGAGCAGCATTTGGGGGAGTTCAAGCCTAGTGATCAGTTCTGTAACTGGTTGGAAATGGGAGTGCCATGGGATATCGAGGAGCACATCATTCGGGCAGCCAACAGTGCATGGGAAGAGGATCATGGCCAGAATCGCATCGAGGATTTGGAGGTTGTCAGTGTCGTGAGTCAGCGCTTCGTTGAGTTCCTTCACTGCCTCTCCGCGGTGGTTTAGGATGGCATTATCGAACTGATCGCCATTGTTGCACTCAGTGGACTTGAGATGCATAGCGGCGATGCTCAGACAGCAGTGCAGGTAAGGCTTGTTGGTCTGTAGCGCGGGTAGGATATGCGATTGAACGATACCGTGTTGTCTCGTCTCCAGGACTGGGAAAAGAAGACGAATGACGTTCTCCAAGAAGTGTTCCAAAAGATGTCGGTCACCGTCGTCAAGATTGAGCATGTCGGCAATAGTTGGTTCGGGTGGCACGCTGAGGAAACCGAAATCACCAGTTTCAGGGGAGCTGAAGGATTTCTTGCAGCTTTCGAAGTATTCCTCCTGAACCCAATCATCGCCAGGGAATGTTGGCAGGGTGGCATGGGACAATGGTGGCTGGAATGTGCTGAATGTTGAGATAGAAGAATCCCGTCGAGTTGGGATATCATTGACATATAATTGTCGTTCCGTCTTGATGTCAACCTCGTATGGTGGAGCTGTCCCATAGAAAGCTGCTGCTTCGAAGTGGGGAGTCTGCAGCTGGGATCCAAATGGGTCGAATGGATCATGCGACGGGAAGGCGAACTCTTGTTCCATGGAGAACTGCGATTCGGCAGAAGGGGCGCGAGTCCCATGAATACCATCGGAAAATGTGTCTATCGTTGGAGCAGAATGTGACAGGCTGGGAGCGGTGTGGGCACAGCTGCTTGCGCGGGCATTGGCATTTGCGCACGCCTTCTCATTGATCTTGGTCTTCTTGATGATGTCCTTGATTAACTCCTTTTGAATGCGCCTTTGCTCATTGTTTCCCCACCACATGGGCCGCTTGTATTCGCATTTCAACTTCAGGTTTTTGCATGCTTTGCAGACAATCTTTCCCTCATCACACTTCTTTCTTCGAAGACGACAGGTAAAGCAACCTATAAAAGAGAGCGCATGAGATTACTTGGATACATACCCCTATAGTTGTCTTCCCAAGTTCAACAGAAAGAAGCGACGATTGAACATACCTAATCTGGACCTTCGATGTGTCTTCTCACCCATCTTTGGAGAGAAATCTTGGGTGGGTTTGGTTAAGGATTTGGAAGTCGCCTTGCGCGAATTTTTGGTGACCTTTCCAGCAGGGTTTGACTCAGAAGAGACCATGTTTGCGGGTGGTGATGTTGGTGCCTTTGTCAAAGGGGCGATGGTTGTGTACGACATTGTAGCTAGCCTGCTCAAAACTAACTAGCAACAACAACAAAAGAAGAAGACAAGGGCTTGCTTGTCTGAGTTCCTGACCTTAGCAGGAGCTGTAAATTAACTAGAGAGATAAGTGCAAGCCGTAGTACTACTTCGGCGGGCGACGAGATCGGATTGCTTCGAATGGCTGTATTATTAGGTGTTGTATAGCAAGGAATGGCGCAAAGCTTGACCAGCAGGCTTTGTGAAGGAGAAAAGAATCTGTCGAGGTAGATAGAGGGCGAGGAAGGATGATAAGACAGATAGGCGAGGAAGTGTGAAGAAAAAAGAAGCGAATATTCAATCAATTCGAGGCCGCGCTGCCGTACAGCAAGGAAGCTTTGAAGCTTTTGATGTATCTTGGGCATCCTGACTTTAAGAGTCTCTCGCGATAATCGGTCGGCAGAAGGGCTGTTTCTATTTTTGACATTGGCCTGTGGATCAGATGCAAGCTTGTTCTGAAAAGGAATAGATTGAAGAAAGAGCCTGCAGCCTTCGACCGCCCTGAGCGGGGATAGATGAGTGTGTGGCGAGCGAATAATCAGGCATATCTGGCTGAGGAGACGATCCTCATTGGGCGGATGCACGCAAAAAGAAGAAAAACCACGACCATGCCTGGTTCTTTTTGCGAGCCGCTCTAAAAAAATAGCAGAGAAAAAAGCAAAAACAAAAAGCGGACCCCAATGGGTATGCAGACCAGGGGTCGGCGGGAGATGCGAGAATGCTGCTGGTCATTCTTCGTGGAGGAGAGATGAGGGGGGTTGGGCATGGGCGGCGATAGGCTGGAGGGGGACTCAGTTAGGGCCAGGGTGCAGCTAAAAATTGATATCTGCACAATCGGCTAGTAGTACTAGTGGCACGGAGGGGTCACCGTCGAGCAAATCCCTGGCCCATTCAGAAGTTCCCGATGGATGTTTGGATCGTTCACGAGTAAGGGAAAAGAGAAAAAGGAAACATTCGCGAACCAGAGTACAACAATTTCCCTGCTATTTCGAGCCACAGAATGGTAGAGACTCTATCCCTATCCGATGTAATAATAATACACCAGGAATTCGTTTCGGCCCTATGTTTCTCTTTTCTGGAAGCTTTACTCTGTATGGGTGTTGTACGGAGTACATATCTTGATCCTTTAACTGGAAAGGAATTTACTGCATCATTTTAAGATGTTAGTGCGTTGCATCAATTGTGCTCCCTAGGTACTTACATAAAAATAGCGTATTATGATCTGATGCTAGACAAAGGGACCCCCCGTGCAATGGAGAGACTATATCTCCATGAACCATCCCTCACACCCTCACACCCGAAACCAAGATGTTCCTTCCAGCGAATATTAGCTAACACAAGAAAGTAACAGTGTAATTCTTGTGAAAAGTAAACATCCCAAGTTGATTTGCAGATATGTTTTTCCTGATACTCCGTACATATATTCTTCTCGCTTCTATTTTAGTTTTTCAATAGTTTGGAGATGGAGAGAATCGGATGATAATGCGTAGGCCAACCACTGGAGAATTGGCTCCCTAAACGAAATTGGCCCTGGGATTGTTTACCAGCCACTCAACAGCAAGTATCCGATGTACCCTCTCAGCCTAGTCTATAGGATGTAATACATCACGAGGTTCACTCAGCTAAAAGGATGGGATTTCGGGGTTTGTTTGGACCTATGTCGTCATGTTCGCATTTCCCCCTTTTCTCCCATTTCCCCCTTTCCCCCAGTCTCACTCACCTATAAGGACAAAATGTAACCACAAGATTACCGTCATGTCATCCGGGAGTAATATTTCTGGTGTTAAGAGCGGCGTACTTTAGCTAAAAATTGCCAAGCCGTGCTCTTTGGCGCTCGATTCGATCGGCGAGCTTGAGCCAAATAATCCCGTGTTGTGCAGCGCCAGGGAGAGTTTGGCGGTGGCTAGATAGACTACTCCGTCGATGTAGTTCCACTTTTCAGCCAAGGATGCAGCTTGTGCATTCCTGTGTTGCTGCTGTGCATGGATGGTGGTGGTGGTGGTGATGGTGGAGCCGCAAGGATGGGGACGAGGTTAGGTTGAGAGAAGTATTGGGTACTTGCTCTGTTGGCGCAATCTTGCACGAAATCTGCAGGACGAATGACGTCTGGAGCAGGTCACCTTGACTTGCGAGGGCTTGACTTGGCGCTGTTAGCCCGCAAGCTCGGACGTACGTGACATTTGTCAGACATTGTTGCATATCATATCATGTAGTTGATCTAGAGCAAACAAGGCTAGTAGCCACTAGTGGGAGCGGGGGCCCCGGCGATTGTCACCCGTGGGCCATGGCGTGGTCCGTGGGTCGTTGGCCTGTTAGCAGTGTTAGGTTTAGGCTTGTTATTATTATTATTGGTTTGGTGACACGGAGCCTACGGAGCCTAATTCCTGGAGCTAATTAGCCTTGAACTGAATAACATATTCCCTATTTAGTAGCATTTAACCGCCCAACTCGCGGCCTTATTGATTAATTAGTGCAACATTTCTTTCTTAACTCGATTGCCCTGAACCAATAGCTGCAAGACGCTGCATCCTCCTCTGTCAAACAATCACAAATTTGCTATTAATACTAATTTTCCCCAACACGGGAGAATTAACCAACATTTTTTACCTCCAGTTTTTTCTAATAATAAATTACCCCTCTTTCAGGCCATTCTTACCCTCTCTCTCCAGTTGCTATTGAGACATAATTAGTAACAATTTGTTTGTCACAATCCGTTCTTGCTCTACGGAGTACTCTGTAACTACGAAGTAACTATCCTAGCCTATAATTGTGGAGTGATTTGCATGCAGGACAACATCCATGGATTGGATGGAGCTGTCTTTCTCCAGACTAGGAAAGGTTTGGCTGGAAATTCAATCCTTTTGTTTCTTTTCTTTTTTTCTGCTAACATCCCTCCCCTCCCCTCCTCAATCGCCCGGTCCAGGCCGTCCTTCGCCCTGAGGGAGAAACTCGGGGAACTACTAAATAACTTTAGATCAAATCACAGAATTGTTGTTCTCTTTCCACTGTATCCAGATAACAGCAATCTCCCAATAATTGATAATCCCTTGCTGGAACAGCAAAAGCATCTTCACCCCCCCTTTTTTTTGCCCATGCTCCGTTTCTCTTCCCACTGGCTCTCTTTCTCTCCTCTCCTTTCCTCCGCCTTAGTCCCCCGCATGCGTGTGAAAAAGTTATTTCCCCTTCGATCATGAACAAATCCCCTCCAATCCATCCAGAATTTCTAAAAGGAAACTAAATTACTACGCCAAAGGATCTCTCCTCTCCCTAAATACCATAATTTCTTTCAATGAGTCAACCGGCCTCTCCAGATCGAGAAGAGCGGAGTGAAAAAAAGGTCGACAGCCATATAAAAAAAAACAGTTTTATACACCGTCTTTTTTCTCTTATGCTTATCATCCATGCGAATCTTCCTCCCCCCCGCCCCCCGTCCCCCGCCCCCTTCCCCTACCTGACCTAACGAACGATCTTCCGGCCGAAAGTACTTCCATCGCTCCCCGTTACACCGTTACATGCGCGCAAACTAGGGTCTTTTTTTCTTTTCTTTTCTTTTCTTTTTTTCTTTTCTTTTCTTTTCTTTTTTTCTTTTTTTTTTTTATTTTTTTACCTATGTTCTCACTTATTTTCTCCCCGCAGCCTAAGGGCACTCCACCCCGATCACATTTATCTCCCTGTCCGTAGTGCGCCTTTTTGTTTGTTTGTTCAATATTTGATATTTCATCATCAAATATTTTTAATACTAACTAAGTACCTAGTTAACTGAATCCTTCTTGACCCTGTATTAAACCCTCGCCTTTTTATTTTTACCATGACATGACTATATAATCAGCTTTCATATACCGCCGGCATCTTTCAGTCTCTGTCGACCCCAGCTAGGTTCACCAGCCGTTTTCACACTTTCTCTTTCCCAGTTCCCCCCCCATTAGAACTGGATTGCTCACTTATAACCACCCCACAAATACAAATGGCGTCTTAGTGCGTCTTTCATCACATGGGGTGAGAAAAGAAATACCTCCGAACAAAGTGTGGGGTGCGCTGAGCCTGGAAGTGGAGCGCACTACGGAGTAATCCGACACTCCATCTGAACTTCAAGTTAAACTGACTCTCGCCCGAGGCACAAAACACAGAATTTTTCTCTCTCTCTCAAAGAGATCTCAACTTCATTTCACTTTCTAGACCAAGGCTGTTGCTTTGCCTAGATGCTAGATGTCTCATCATTTTCCTTCTTCGCTTTACTTAGTTAACCCACTACTTAACACTTGCTGTGACTTTGATGCGCTTTTCACCGAACTATTATGAACCCTCTCCCACCCCCCCCCACCTTCTTTGTTTTTTTCGTTGCTCCATCGATGAAGTTCCGAACACCGAACAACAGGGGCCCCCTGGGAGGAGGGGGAATAAGTATGACGTGATGTGCAAAGCAAAATAAAACATGTTCAATTGATAAGGTTCTGCTGGGCAGAGAGGGTTTGAGAGAACACTCTGACCTGTCATGTCAATTCATTATCGGGAATTTAAACTTATTCCTCTATTTGTTCTGAGTTATGTGTGTACATACTGTACAGCGTATATAAAAAAAAAAAAAAAAAAAAAAAAAAAATTTCTCCTCTTGTTTTTCACAACATCACTAGAAGAGTATGAGCAGAGATAACTATATATATATATGTCCATGATGTTTCTGAACTTCTGCAGTGATATATCAGAATTGCTTCTACAGAGATTTTTATTCTAGTAGTATTTAATACTTACGCAGTAATAACTAGTGCTCTTTTCATACTCTCTTTCTCTTTAAGAAACTCACTCTCTGAAGTGAAATCTTTATTTTCAAATTTTAATTATAAAGATAATGTTTTTATTAGTATAATATATTATGCTGATAGTGATGATTGAAGTTTCTGCGATTTCATTTTAAATTAAATTTGAATCTTTGCTGAAATATTATCTAATAAAGTAATCTTAAAAAAATTGATTTATATATGAGTATTTTGACTGCAGAGAAATATCAGAGCAAAGATCAAGGCTTGAACTGACTCATTGAAGATAGAATATGGTGAATGTTTTAAATTTTTTATTAGAAAGTCTTGATGTTTGTATGGATTTTATATATGTAGTAGTTTGTGTCAAGAAAGAGGAGTGAGATGATACTGTTCAATTCTGAAATATAAAGCAGATCAACATTGCAAGTATATTGATAAAAAGATAACCATGAAGTTTCTTTCCCCCGCCACTCTGCTCTGCAGTGGTAGATAGATCATTGCTCTGCGTGGCATTGCAGCTCAGTAACATGGAGATGGCAAATGGGAAACAAGGAATGAGACATCAATCACAGTGTGAGCCACTCAGGTTTCAATGACCTGACCAGGTATCCTGCATGAAAGTGAGGTCTGCTGACTTCTTAAATACACCATTAAAAACTAAAAAAGAAGGGGTGAAGGGAGAGAGAAATGACAATGAAAGTTCCACTGAAGGAACCGAACTCACAAAAAGATGCGGGCCATATATGATTGAAATACTTCAAATTCTCCAGAGGCTCTCTGCATGATAGCTAGATATGTAGCGTATATTCATCAGGTTTTCTGCGAAAAAAAAAAAAAAAAAAAAAGCACTCTCCTGGATCTTGAGCTCACTAGCCACGCAGTGGAGCTGCTAGCATTCATGCATGCATGCAACGTGTACTCCGTATGTCTGTGTGTGGCACTATCACAGCTATCAAGATAGCTTAGATTATACAGAGGAAGCGAAGACGGTGTGTGCTGACGTTGAGTTAGCCTGTCCTGTCGTCGGTGAGGAAAGAGTATTAGATAGATACGATACATAGATGAATGTGATGGCGATATACAATCATATCAAAAAAAAAAACGGTTGGCTATTAGGGTTATTAAAGTTTGATTCCTCGCTTGTTCTTCTTGCAAGGGGGGAAATAGGTAATATTATTTCATTGGGAAATCGGGTTTGGGTGTGCGCAAGGCCTTTTTTTTTTTTGTTTTGTTTTGATTGGAACCTAGCTACGATGCTTGTGAAGAAGCCATCATCATTATACGGAGTCGCAAAAGCAAAGATGGAGGGTTAATAAGTTGCCTCTTTCCTTCCCATTCTCCTTTTCCTTTTTCTTTGCTTTTTTCTCCCCGTTCTCCCTTCCTTACCAGTCTTGTTTTGTTGCCCGACCGACTGAGCGCCACACGCAACAATAATGGAGAAAAGAGGCCGGGAAAGAAAGCCTCTACTTCATCCTTTTAACTATCCCAACCCCCTGAGTTAAGCTGGGAATCACACATCACAACGCCATAAATACAGCGTAGGTAAGGATTTCATAGCTCGCTTGTTATGAGGGAAAAAAAAAAAAAAAAAAAAAAAAACGGAGCTCCCGCCTCCCTCCCTGAGAGGTGAGAGGGGAGAGGAGAAAAACCAAAGTCGGTCAAGGTCAATCGAGGCTCAAAAATGAAGCAAAAAAAGAAAAGAAGAAAAAAATTGCAACACCCTGCATATATTCCACATGGGAGAGCTATCCGTATACACACTCACACTCACACACGCATACAGAGTACACAACCGAGGAGAAATTGCACGGGGCTTTCATCAGTTTGCTGCTCCCGCGGCCCCTTGTAAGTTACAGAGTATATATGCACCTGACTTCACACCGTTACCATCAGAAGAAAGCCCCGTTCGAAATAATGTCGGGTTTGTTTTTAAGCAAGCGTGCATACATAGTTAACTATATACCTAGGTATATCATGTCATGTCAGAAGAAAACGGATCATCCAAATGGTAGTGGTACTCCGCACTCAGTAAAGGATTTCTTTTTCTAACCACTCGATTTGCGTTTCTTTCCTTCCTTGACCCCAAGCACGGGCGCTGTGCTTTGCTGTGCTTCGCTGTGACGAAGTGGTGATGTCAGGGAAAACTTGCTCCGGGGGGGAGTGGAAAAGGAGATGGGAGATGGGCAGCTGAAGATGGTTAGGGGGATCCTTGACGAATTAAGAAAGGAAGTAAGTTAACTAACTACTGCGTAAGCGAGCGAGGTTAAGAAAGAAAGCATATGATAGCTCCAATCTAATAAAAAGGCTTGCTTCCCTGTCGAAAAGACCGGGTGAACAAAACACACCTACATCGCTATATCACAGTAGTACGGAGGACTCCGTAGGAGGATTTGGATGCA